TGCAGAGAGCCAGTCCCAGGAAGGTGGGTGTCCCGGTGGGTTTGGGTTCCCCTGCCACCATGGGGTGTTCCCACGAGGGACAGCAGCCTGGGTACAGATCTGAACCTGCTGCCCAGCCCTGGAGACCTCTCTTACCAGGGAGCATGAGTGTTACCTCGTTCTGCAAACCACAGGGACCCCGAGCCCCCAGAGCACCCCCCAAGCCCTCAGAGGGTGCTGGGGGCAGACACAGGGTGTGGGGCTGCTGTTCCCAGCACAAGGATGCATCAGGCACAGCCTAAAGCTCTCAGCTCCCTCTTTCCACTCTTCCTGCTCCACCATCTACCAGGAACATTAGAGTTTGGCTTTGCAGAACACTGAGGAACCTCGTAGTGTTGTGGGGTTGGGGGAGTCCTTGTGTCCTGGGGGTCACTCATGCCTGTCCCCCCTGTGTGTGGGCTCAGATAGCACAGCACGGAAGGAGCGGGAGGTGATGCTGCGGCTGAAGGAGGTGGTGGACAAGCAGAGGGATGAGCTTCGTGCCCAAGCCCATGAGATTGTCTGCAAGAACCGAGACACGGAGGCGGTGAGCGTGTGGGAGCTGGCGGGTGTGGTGTGTGAAGGGCCTGGGGACCTACTTTCATGTCACATCCCCCTGGGGCTGTCATCGGGGCTGGTGAGCCTGCTGGGGCAGATGCCTTTCCCACGGCTCTGCATGCACTGAGGTCCCTGGATGGGGGTCAGAGCTGAAGAGCTGATGCCGTTGCCTCACTCTTTGCTGTCCTGGTCCCTCCAGCTGCAGGAACAACTGCATCGCTTCATGGCCATGAACGAGGACCTGCGTCACAAGGTGGCTGTGGTGCAGGCTCAGCTCAAGAGCACACTGGAGAAGAAGTCAGACCTGGAGGCTGCAATGCTGCAAACCCAGAGGGAAATGAGTAGGAGGAGCAGGACCACCTCTGAGATCCAGCGGCCAAAGCCCAGCCTGGTGAGTCTGAGCCCGTGGCCTCACTGCTACAGGGCATCGCTAACGCTGATCCGACCGTTCCGTCCCACGTGGGGCTCCTGGCACACCCAGACCAGCACGACACGCTGCTCGAGTAAACCCCACTGCTGAAAACTGACCAGTGCGGTGTCTGCGATGCTGGTAACACCTTGTCTGTAAAAATTGCTGGGGTGGAGGCAGGAATAGTGAGGTGAGGGGATGGCAAGAGAAGCCGGGTGGGACTCAGAGGGTGAGGATGGTTTGTCACGTGTGGCGATGAGCGGTGGGTGCGGGCTGAGCTGGGGACCCACCATGGTCCATGGAGAGCTGCAGCAGCTCTGGACTAGCAAACTCCTTCCTGGGGCTTTTCCATCTCTCCCTGCAAGTGGCATCCAGCCTTTGGGTGGGGGCTTCGGGCTCTCCGCTTGCCTGCTGACTGTCTGTCCCCCCAGGAAGGAGAACTGTCACCCATGGAAGAGCCACAGCACCAGGATGCAGACACGGCCAGGAGCCCTGCTCACTGCTGCTTCTCCAAGGAAGAGCTGCAGCAGATCCTGCAAGAGCGGAACGAGCTCAAGACCAACCTGTTCTTGGTGCAGGAGGAGCTGGCTTATTACCAGCGGTGAGTCCTGTCACGGTGATGTGGGGCAGCGAGCCAGGTCCCTCCTGTCCCTGCAGCCTCCCGTGGCCCATCAGAGGCTGCTCCTGGTGCAGTCAGGGTGGATTTCTTTGCCAGGCTCTCAGTTAACCAGCTGGCTGGTTTTTGCCAGGGAGCTGCTGAACGAAGAGCGAGTTCCTGGCTTCTTCTTGGATGCGATGAAATCAACTATCAAAAGACAGAGAAAAAAAATCAGAGCCAAAATGTTGGGAACAGCAGAGGAGTCGGCGAGCAGGTGAGTCCTGCTCACCAGGAGGGAGGACAGGGAGCGTCCCGTGCAGGGTGGATGCCTGCCGACGGGCTCTGCTGTTTCCTTGTGGTGTGGTGCCCTGGAAGGGAACTTCCCCAGGCCAAAGGCTGCCTCCTCCCTCCAGAGATCAAAGGTTTAATGTCTGCAGTGGATGTCTTGCTCTAGCTTAGCCCTGGGAGCACTACAGGGGCTGGGCTCTTCTCTGCTGCCACTCACGTGTTTTTCAGCCTGGTTAAATGCCACTTGTCCCTGTGTGGATGTGGTAAAAGGTGGTGGCATTGGGACCACCGGATGAGGCAGACTGGTTCCTGTGCTGTCCAGTTGGAGGCTGTCCAACGGAGAGCCTTTGAAGATGACAGTAGCAATGTTCCCTGGAGGCTCTGCAAGATGTTCGTGGGCAGCGTTGGCTCCAGCAGATTCCTCACGATGGTGCCGGGCGGGCACCAGCCCTGGCTCTGTGTGTCTGCTGGGGGCAGGGGGAGAAGCTTGTGCTAAAACTGCTGTATGGATGGGGGGAGCTGGATCTCACTGGCTTTTAGGGGCTTTAATAAAGGTCTGAAGGGGGCTGAGCTCTTCTGTGCTACTGAAACCT